ACCATTGCTAGGGCATAGCCCAAGATGGGTAATGAAGCTCCCAACATTATGTCCAAATTCTGGCCAGCAAGAAAGAGGGAGGAGCATGAGAAAGGCATGCCGCCGCCTTTTAAGGATACTTTTCAGAAGCTTCGCTCACCACTGCAAGGAAAGCTAGGAAATGTAGTCATATTCTGGATGGCTAGGTGAAAACTGGAGGTTTCATTTGGAAAAAGAAGAACAGACACTAGAAGATAATAATCTTTGATAACTTCTATTAATAATACATGTAAATGATTTTTTTTTTTTTTTTGAAATAGAACTTTAATCTCCTTGAGCCAGATTTTTGGAATGTCTCAGTTTGCAAATCCAGTATTCACAGAATAGCTAATTAAGTGTAGATCAAGTAATTAGCTTTATTAACAGCTGGGCAAGCACCAAATAACTCCCCAGGCACATGGCTATCTGTTAAGAACTGGATTGGAGATAATTCAGCTTGAACCTGTGGCTCCTACTCCTGTACCACATCTCAACCTTGGGACCCACTTCTGCCTGCACAGAAGACTTAAAGTTCACTTGCAATGTTTAGCATGGGCTTCAAGCATTTCTCAAACATCTGGTTGCCAGTGGAATATGGAGAGAAGAGGGTGGGCTTCCTTCCCAAGAATTGAAGTCCTGCCTGGTCTCTTGACATTATAGAGAAAAGAAGCCTGAGATATGAGTAGACAGGTCAGAGAATAAAGGGAGAGCCTGCGATCCTCTTTTGCCTAATAAATGTAGAACTCTTGCTTTGATTTGTTTACCCCTCCATGTTGGGAAAGTCAGTAGAGGAATGGAGAGTGAGAGAGGAAATATTTGTTCTGGAGCTCCCAAAGAGGGTGGGTTTGGGGGGTAGGAATCTCCTCTTCTGTTGGCTGAAGTGAAGAATGTAGTGAGAGAAGAAAGAGTTTTTTCTAAACAAAATAATTATTAGAAAAGTGGAATCTAAAACATTTTTTAAAAAAGAGTGATGAGTGTCCTGAGTTGTATAATTAATTGCCTCAAATATGCTTTGATTAATAGAAATATGGCCTTATTCAAGTACATATTATATTCTTATAAAGCCTCAGCACAAAGAAAATAAGAAATGAAGAAAAACAAAATGACAGGTGTTTTCAAGTATGCAATAGGATGCTTTAGGGAACTGAAGGAGAAAGGAAAGGAGAAAGTCACCTAAGGACAGCAGTAGAGAAAGCTGAAAGGACAAGTGTCTAGAAAAGGGCTGAGGTTAGGGCAGCACTGAGTGGGGGAGCACAGCAGTGTTGTCTTCTACAGAGACTTGTCATAGGGCCGTGTTCATCAGCCTTCTGGCACACTCACAAGTAATGGAAAAGAGGTTCACAAAAAGCCTGTTTGTAATCGTGGGCACAGTTAGAAAAAAAACAAGGGATGATGAAGTGCTCAGGAGCCAGCGACAGTGGGGACACCTACAGGGATAATGGTAGAGAGTGGTCACTGGAATCTGGCAAGAGCTGTAGCTATGGGTGAGGGCCTAGGTGAAGAAACACTGAGTCAGTGGAGGAAGAAGCTGGGGGATAAATACTCTTCTTTCTGTTTCCCCTCACCCTTCCGTATTCTGCTGGTGCCTTCAGGCCAAACTCAACTAGAAGCCAGAGGCAAGGAAGCCCAGGCAATATCGTCATAGAGAACAGCCTCCTAGGCACTTTGGCAGGATGGGGAAAGGTCAGGAGGGTCAAATGGAGAATTGCCTGCACAATATTTTGGTTGAATGCAGAGGAGGGGATGGTGGGAAAGAAGCTGTAAAATTTCCTGCTGCAGTTTAATCAGTTTCCCTCAAACATTCATTGAGCACTTGCTCTGCCTAGTGTTGGGGATACCAAATGAACAAACAGAGACCTTGCTTGGTCTTGAGAGGATCATAAGCCAGCAGAGTCATGATTCTAATGTCAGATCGTGGAAGCTTTGGAAGACAGGAATAGCAAAAGACAGCCCTGCCTGATGGAGTTAGTGAAAGTGTCCCCAGAAGGAAGTGACTTTTGAGTTGGATATTGAATTTGTGTAGAAGATCATTAGATAGAGGAGAGCATTAAGACTTCCTGGTCTGGGGAAAGGTACAGATGCTGTGAGAATATGGAGAGAAGGTACAGATCAGGGGAGGAAGATGAGACAGAATCTGATGGTCTTTGTGAACCAGACTGAAGAGCTTGGATTTTATCCTTTACATTGGCAATAGGAGTTAACAGAGGCTTATAAAAAATACTGCTTTTTTTTAATTTTAAAGGATGGGGGAACTGATGATGGGTGCTTTTCCTAGCAATTTCTTTTCTTAGTATGCTTTCCTTCTTTTTCCTCTGATTTTTTTCCTCCACTTCTCTTTACCATTCACCACCTTTTAATCATTGTTGTGTTTCTAGTAGATGAAACCTCCAAGGTTAAGGGGCTAGTTAGGGTGGATCTGATCTAGGGAAGAGAAAAAGAAGCATTCCGTGTCTTTAAATAATTTCTACTTCAGTTGCCAGAAGGGGTTTAATTTGTGAATGGTAGAAATACTGGTGATGCTGGCACAGAAATTAAAATGCCTAATGAGCCAGTACTTAGTGGTCTACCACAACAAAATAAAAATGAGATGTGACTTCATGCAAACTTGTCTTGAAATACTATTCATATACCCTGATGTGCATTATTGTAGACTGAAAAAATAAAAATACAAACACATATGCTCACATTACTTTCCTACACATTAATCTGCAAAGAGAAAACTCTTCAAGACTTTGAGGAGAAAATCCATTACTGAATTAATAAAACAACCATCTTCTATCTGCACTTTTATTTTATATACCCTTTACACCTGTTTAATTAATCCTAAACCTGAGGCTGACTGCTAATTAAACAGCCTGGAAGTGACTGACTGAAGGTAGTAATTTGAGATAATTAGTTTTGGTTTCAAACACTCAATTTTCACACTTTCTGCTCATATTTAGAAAGGGTGGCTTATTATAGGCAGGTTGGGAATTGTGTAAGTCATTTTATGGCTGGACTGTTAGTACCTTAGGAAGTGGGAGAATTATGTATCCAAATAGGACAAGGAAATGTTATAGAGCTATAGAATTTGCTATAGAATGCTCTATTTCCTCCACACATCCCATACTTGCACATACACAGAATTTCTTCTAAAGTTAAGGTCAGATGGCTAACTTTATTTCGTTAGAACATAGAAATACACATGATTTTGATGTTTGGGAAACTTTTACCTGGTAAGAAGGAGATCTCACTGAGTTATCCATGGTTTCCTTCCCAGGCCCTCTGAAAACAAACAAGAAAAGGCGAAAAAGGCCAAGGTTTGGTGTGTGGTTTGAGATTTAGAGGGGTGTTCTTGCGAGTAGTCATGTACTATGGAGGCACAAAATCTAACCAGGGGAAAAATTTGTCAAGGTAAGGCCGGCATATCTGACAGAGAAGGCAAAGGGCAGGATGAGGAGGGTCAGGTCATCTTTGTCCCACCTGGTCCCACAGTTTTAACAAGTAGGTTAACATGGTCCCCACTAGGAGAACAGAACCAGGAAGAATTTGGGGTTAAATGGGCCAGACTATTCTGGGTACTCATTGTTATGGACAACGTAGGTGGATCCAAGTTACGAGGAAGCTGAACGAATTTTCAGCACCCCGGACAGCTCCAAAGCACATTGCTCTGCTGCTGCTCCTGGGGCGACTTTTACATTTTAGGAACTTTGTTGTCATTTCACTGGCCACCAGTATGGAGTAGGACTCTCTAGACTTAGGAAGAAGATTATCTAGATGTTGAGGGCTTTACAAGTAGAGAACATGTGGACTCAGGGAGAGGTGCGTCATACACTGGGGGCAGTTGGGGGAGGTAGAGGAGAGACAGTGGGGTATGGGGAGGGTGGGGAGGGATAACATGGGGAGAAATGCCGGATATAGTATGCACCAAAGGTAAAATAAATAAATTTAAAAAAAAAGAGTGGAGTTGAAACGTTTACACAGATTGGGATTCATCTGTCTGGACGGTGGTGGGGACTGTTGGATCCCAGAGTGCACAGCCCTGTATGGAAAGATGGAACTGCAACCTCTAACATCTTTGAGCACTGACATTAGCTGCAGCTTGTGATGTAGCACAGAATTAATTTTTTTATATACGAGTCAGACCTGCATTTTCAACTAAGCTACCTGAATTAGGGCATCTTGGAGTCATTTTGATCTCTGAACTTTCACTCATACCACAGCATGGCATCAGAGGAGTTACTAGGCACGACCACATAACTCACTTTCCCACATTATTGAGAAATGACATAGGATTCCTCGTTTTGAAAAATTTCTAGCAATTCACCACATTAAAAGAAAAATAGTCTCTTCTTTTAAAGAATTTATGGTTTGGATTCCTTTTTCTGTGATGTTTTGGGGAAGTTAAAAAGATGTTTCTATGAGAGGATATGTGACTGGCAATTGTCAAATCCTTTTGTAGCACACTGATTATATCAATAAACAGTAGATAGACTTGCAAAACTATATATTTAAGATACTTTACTGAACATGTAGTCTCAAGACTGAAATGGCATTAAGTGTACAAACCAATCTCATTAAATTCCTTGTTAGTCTTTGTATATCATTAGTGTCCTATAAAGCTAAAGCCAGTTTCAGAGGTGACCTTTTCTGATGCATATGCCTTCATTTTTCTCTCCTTTTTGCACCAGAGCTTATCATGTACAGACTGAAAAAGCAACATCAACAAAAAGCACAAATGTTTTGCTTTGGCTCCAGAAAACAATGGAAACTAAAGCAAAATGAAATTCTTTCTGTTTAGACATATTGTGTATTGAGAGAAAGTGAGCCTATGGACCATTAAAAAATACTTTCTAATTAAATTGGCAGTCATAAAACTGTATGTTGGCTTCAGGCTGATATGTCTATGTTTCTGGTATAGTCTTGACTGTTTAGCTCTTATGACAATCCATCATTCTTGAAGATACTTCATGGGTTGAAATGACCCAACATTTGTTTTGCAGATACCTCAAATCAGCTATGCATCCACAGCCCCAGAGCTAAGTGATAACACCAGGTATGACTTTTTCTCTCGAGTGGTCCCACCTGACTCCTACCAAGCGCAAGCCATGGTGGACATCGTGACAGCACTGGGATGGAATTATGTGTCAACACTGGCTTCTGAGGGGAACTATGGCGAGAGCGGTGTGGAGGCCTTCACTCAGATCTCGAGGGAGATTGGTAAGCATATATTTATAAAATGAATGTATTTGGAGGCGATGGGTTTCTGATGCCCGAGCTTCTCCAAGTGCTCTTTTATCTGTAGGGAATAATTAGAACTCCTACAGATGCATGAACTAGGCTGTCCACTCTAGAGGGAAGCTGGGTTTATTATAAATGATTTTGTTGTTCATAGGTCTATCAAGGTGACACTTTGGTGCTAATTTAGGAAGTAGGGCTCCTGACTCAAGTGAACATTTTTTTAAAGTTGTCTGTTTTGACAAGGGAGTTTGCTGGCACATTAGAGCCACTGTAAATTTGAATAAATGACATACTATTTGATTGTTCTAGATGGAAGTTTACATTAGCAAGTCATTAAATTGAAAAAAGTCAGTGGAATTTAACATCCAACACTAGAGGGATTAAGTCTAGTTATCATCTTAAAACAATGCTGAAGTGGCCCCAAGGCTATACTTAAGCAATATTCTTATTGTCATATTCGACTTTTTGCATTTTTACTCTCAACTGAAGCTCTGAAGCTTAGGATGTAATGAAGGGCAAGATGTAAAAACTTGTTTACAACAAGGTACTGCTGACCTCCGTCCTGGGCATTTTTTTCAAGGTGCTTATTCAAGTCTCTAGGCATTTCACCATCTTGTATGTGTACCAATGAGGTTGTAAATCCATTTCACTGCTTTGAAAACACAGAGCAAAACAAAGAAACAAGTTAGAGCACAAATCTTAACTGCTGATTTGTCAACAGTGTGTCTTTGTGAATGAAATGAGATATGTTATTGTTAAGTACTATTATTAAAAATGAATGATTTTTTCTATAAGAGTAATATTTTGTGGAAAGGTTAAATGTCCATTGATTGTTTTTCAGTAATTTTGAGCCCGAAGGAAGACATTATATTGATAAATTTATTGTTTTTCTTGGAGGCCTTGATTCAGGAAAAGATCATGGGAGTGATTTGGGCTTATCAAGGACAAAAAGTCTAATGTTATTGAAATAGGATTTTCACTTGAGAGACTTGCAGATGGCTACAAGTTTTTCTGTGTGTTGTGGGGCATAGAAAATTATATTACACAATATTTAATATAGTTCACATTTGTTCTACATTTGTGCTATTGTGGAAAATGTATAAAAAGCCTGGTCATTTTGGACAGATTGGGTTAATTGACTAAATTGGACAACTATTCACACCTGCTGTAAGTGTGCATGATGCCATAATCTTTGCTCTCTGGAAATTTATATCATTACTGCTATAAAATTGATTTAAAACATTCAATTGATCTTTAAATTATGACAAATTATATTATCTTCTTGGATAAAAATCTAAAGTTTATCCTTAGAGGAAAGGCCCACTCAAATGAAAACAATCACTTCTGAAAACAGGGTTAATGTATTATTTAAGCAACTGATGTCAGTTCTTACCAGAGTGAAAATTCTATAAGAGAAGGAAACAAATAGAGTATGTATTTAAATAAGTTTTCTGCAGTTCTCCTGGACATTCTGCAACTCCAGAACACATTTTGTGTGCATGAGATAGATTCCTATAAAAAATTCAAAACAGGACGTAATCTGCCAATTGTTGCAGAATCTGACAAAATACATTGTTCTAAAAGTTAAGTGAAACCACAGTTTTATTCTTTTGACTAAAATACTTAGTTTTTATTTTTTAGGGAGCATTGCTATGCTTTGGTAATACTGTTACATAAAAGGATTTAGATGGTGCCATTCATTATTCCTGTTTCTATCATAGTCATTAGCATGGGAGAAAATAATTTTAGTGCCTTGTATATGCTCTTGATTAGAGCAACACATTTCTTCTATGTTGATCTTTTCAGTATTCTGTGACTTGATTGGTTGTCCATTCTATTTCAGTTCTCACTTATCTGGGGAATGGAGGAGGGATGGATTGTCAATTAATATGCAGAATACTGAAAAGGCCAAATTAGTACCACACTGGAGTATGCCATGGAATATATTAAATATCAAAATCATCCCTCATTTTAATGACAAAGATTTTATCTAGAACAAAAATAGCTGAAAATTAAACCTTTTACATGACAATGATATTAATGGCAAAGGCAAATGGTAGCAACTTAACCCATTCTGAAATTATCTGGTGTCCCTAATGAAAATTCATTAGTTCTGTAATATTTGCAGCTCTTACTACAACATTGATGACATCTCTGTCACCATGTTAGTAGTGTGTTTTTTAAAGCTCAGTAGCTTGACTGAGAAGGAGACGATAAATTCATTTTTTGGAGTGTCTGCCCATTAATAAAATTGTATATTTCCCCAACTCATAATGTTTTCTGTACTTTGTTCTGAATTTCTCTTCAGCAACATCGATTGCTAAGAAATTTCAGTGTAAATTGAGGCTTCTTCTGTCTTACCTCTGATTAACCTGGGCAGATCATAATGGAATGATGGTGAAATGAAAATCGGTTTAGTGATGAATTGCTTATACACTTTGATTAGAAGGTTTTTCATTTTAACAAAATCAGACTTGGGGAAGTGTCCTTTGTGAATCTGGGAGAATGAAACTTACGAGTGTATGATGGTTATGATGAGACTTCAGTGATGGCTCTTCCCTAGCTGAGATCTTTCTGAAGGGGAGAGGGACAAGAGACACTTGATAAAGACAAATAGCCCCTTGATATCACAGCTGTTATAGTGTCAGCCCAGGGCATCTCTTGATTATAGAATTATTGCTGAGAAGGAAAAAAATATAGATGGCATCATCAAATAGCACTGTTTGACTGGAGCATAGTTTGTATAGTGATGTATGGGAGACAAAATTGGAAGGCTTGACATAGACACATGATTATTTCAAATCATAGGGTGTTTATTTTATCCTTAATTTTCTAGACATTGGAGGTGTGTTATGCTATTCCTGCATTGCTATAAAGAAATCCCTGAAAGTGGATAATTTATGAGAAAAGAGGTTTAATTGGTTCAGGGTTCTGCAGACTGTACAGGAAGCATAGTGGCATCTGCTTCTGGGGAGGCCCGAGGAGGCTTACAATCATGGCAGAAGGTGAAGCAGAAGCAAGGGGAGGTGCAACACGCTTTTAAACCACCATATTTTTTGAAACATCATTATCTCAGACAGCACAAAGCAGTGAGGGGTCTGTCCCCATGACCCAAACACCTTCCACCAGGCCCTGCCTCCATCATTGGGGATTACAGTTCAACATGAGATTTGGGTGGGGATAAATATCCAAACTATGTCTTTCCGCCCTGGCTCCTCTCAAATCTCATGTCCTTTTCCCATTGCAAAATGCAATTATGCCTTCCCAATAGTCTCCCCAAATGTTAACTCATTCTAGCATTAACTGGAAAGTCCAAGCTGGGTCCAGTGGCTCATGACCATAATCCTAGCACTTTGGGATGCCAGGGCAGGGCAGATCACCTGAGGTCAGGAGTTCGTGACCAGCCTGGCTTACATGGTGAAACCTTGTCTCTACTAAAAATACAAAAATTAGTTGAGCATGGTGGCATGTGCCTATAGTCCCAGCTACTTGGAAGGCTGAGGCAGGAGAATTGCTTGAACTTGGGAGGTGGAGATGGCAGTGAGCTGAGATCATGCCATTGCACTCCAACCTGGGCAACAGACGGAGACTTCGTTTCAAAAAAAAAAAAAAAAAAAAAAAAAAAAAAAAAAAAAAAAAAAAAGTCCAAAGTTCCATCTGAGACAAAGAAAATTCCTTTCAGCGATGAGCCTGTAAAATCAAAAACAAGTTATTGACTCCTGGGATACAGTGTAAGTAGAGGCATTGGATAAATATTTCTGTTCCAAAAGGAAGGGGCTGCAGGCCACATGCAGGTTCAAAACACAGCAGGGAAGTCATTACATCTGAAAGCTCCAAAATGGTTTCCTTTGACTTCATATCCCACATCCAGGGCACACTGTTGTGAGGGGTGGCTTCCCAAGGCCTTAGGCAGCTCCACCCCTGTGGTTTTTCAGTATGGAATGGTGGTTGCTAAGGTGAGAAGTAAAGGGGAATGAGGATGGACTCATGGGGAGAAGTTTTTATATAAAAGTGTGCAATATGGCTTGGCTGTGTCCCCACTCAAATCTCACCTTGAATTATTATAATCCCCATGTGTCAAGGGTGGGGCACTTTGCTCCTCATTTGCTTCCACTATGATTGTGAGCCCACCCCACCCACCCAGCCATGTGGAACTGTGAGTCAATTAAACCTCCTTCCTTTATAAATTACTCAGTCTTGGTTATGTCTTTGTTAGCATCATGAGAACAGACTAATACAGTGTGGGAATAAATGCCCAGACATTCTAATGGGGAGCTAACAGTATGATAGAGTGTTCTCTTTTGATGGGTTTGTGGTCATGGGAGGGCTCTCATACTCCTTTGAAGAAGACATGCATTATGGGAGATGTTACAAGCAGCTCCTCAGAAAAAGTTTAAGGATGTTGAGCAGTGTTTCATAAGAAAGCAGGAACTTTTGCCAGAATGCACACCTAAACATCCACATTAGGGTTAGGGTTAGGGCTAGGGTTCCTACATGAAGCAAGGTCCTTAAGAGGATCTCACTTAGTATTTTAGTTTCATAGTAAAGTATAGCAACCTAGGTGGCTTAAAACGATAGAAATTTATTGTCTCACAGTTCTGGAGGCTAGAAATAAAAACTCAGGGTGTCATTAGGGCCATATTGCTTCTGAAACTTGTAGGAGAGAATCCCTCCTTGTGTTTTTTAGCCTCTGGTGTTTGCTGACAATCCCCGGTATTCCTTGGCTTGTAGATGCATCACTCCAGTCTCTGCTTCTACTATCACATGGCCATCCTCTTCCTTCTTGTGTTTGTCTACGTCTTCTCTTCTTATAAAGCTGCAGACATATTAGAATAAAGGCCCACGCTATTCCAGTATGACCTCATCTTAACTAACTACATTTGCAATGACCCTATTTCCAAATAAGATCATATTGTGAGGTACTGGGGTTAGGATTTCAATGTATTTTTCTTGGGAGATAATTCAATCCTTAACAGAGG